AATTGGACTAATTAGTAGCATGACTGTCATAAAAGAACTTAGAACAAGACATCTCTATTTAGGTTTTCGTAATCATAAAAGATCGAACTTGCGTTGTTAATCGTAAACAGAGTAATTTGTAGGAGGGAAAAAAATAAGCGAAAGCTGAGGATAAATTAATCTACTTTACTGTACAAGAACAAGCCTCCCACTCTCCTCTGCGCCGCCATCCGCCTCCTCCTCCACATCCGCCGCTCCTTTCGGCACCGTGACCACCAATTCGCCGTCTTCGTATACGGCGGTGGCGAGCTCCGGCCGCATCGTGGCCGGAAGCCTAAACCGCCACAAATCCAGTTCCAACTCGGTTCCGGACAAGTCAACGACTCCGTTTCCCCTGATTACAATTTTGGTAACCCCAGGGTAGATCTCGATTGCGTCGGCCCTAACGTCGCCGGAGATGTCATCGGTGGCGGCGGTGAATCTGAGGAAGTCTGGCGTCTCCACCACCGTGACGTCGGCGTCGGAGTGGAAGGGGAGCTCTAGAACCTTGGCGAAGATGTGGGGGAGGCGCCGCAGTTTTTTCTGGCGGCAGCTGTTGGCCTGAGCTAGAACCGATGCGACGTCGTATCGGAGGGTGATGTTGCGCTTTCTGGGCACCGGGTGAACCTTCATCTGTGCGTGGATTTGATTTTGATTTTGAAGAAGAATAAGAAGAAGAAGAAGAAAGAACCCTAGAAAAGTGACGTAGGCCAGATTATTTAGGATTTATTAATCAAAGAAGAAAATCCAGATTACGATTTGAGGCAAAACAAAAATAAGAAGAAAAGTTTCAATTAAATAACAAATTGAGGCAAAGAAGAAGAGATTGGGCGGTTGTAGGAAAGAGGTTAATAATATGCAAAAGCAAGATAGAATTGTACGAATTGTAGAAACAACAGGAGAGAGAGAAGAGAGAGAGAGCATCAATGTACTTTTTGTGTGTGCGTGTGTAAAACTGTGCACTTGTGTGTGTGTATGTGTTCGTGTGTGCAAATCAAATCCTTTATGTTTCACTAGAACAAAAACGTAGGTCCCAAAAGTTGCAATTTTGGATTAAATTTTAATATATATAAAATAAGTTAATAACTAGAATTTTGATTTAAATTCCAAAAAAATCCAATACATAAAATATTTATTATTAATTACGTATACAAATAAACGATTGGGAAAAATCTCACATTTTAACTACTTTTTGTAATGTGGGATTGCTCAAGTAGCTCAATTTCCCTTCACAATTCTTTGTTTCAATTACTACAATTTGGCAAAGATTTTTCTTACCACCAATTGATTTGAAGCCAATACTCTCATTGTGTAGATTTAAATAATCCAAAGTTTGGTTTGTATGAAACTAGTATTTCATCCGTGCGATGCACGAGTTATTCATCGTGAGAACGAATTTGTGATTATGAAAAAGTTCTCGAAATAGTAAGACTAGTGATTGATATGCAATACAAAGTAATAGTTATACTAATAATAATACTAATACTAATAGAAATATCTTTGGAACAATATTTTTAGCTATGTGTGTTACATGTTGCTAATATAATAGTCAGAATTCGGATAACCAATAGATGAAAGACTCGATCAACACAAAAAAATTGAAAATAAGGATTCTCATATAGCGATGTAAGGTCAAATCAAAAATTAATACACCATGTGGTAGATTTTTACCCTACTTATGTTTTGTGTGTTACATCAAGCATAATGAAATGTAATGTATGTTGTGATGCATTTGAACGAATGTGGTTAATCCTCATATTTATAACTATGTAGAATAGCTTCAATAAGTATATATTTTATAAATTATGAACATATAACAAAATCATTAGTTATAATTTTGAATGAATCAACTATTATATACGTCGAATAATTTTTGGTGATTTGGTTAAAAAAAATTAACTTTATTCATTGACGGATATAGTTTGTATGAAACAAAAGAATTGATTCCATATTCTCTCTAGAATATAAAGTACAAATGTAAGTTTCAATTATTATAATGACTAAATAATATATACATATTAGTTAAAATAACATGTGTGTTGATATCTTACGTAATGATTTTATTTTATATATTATAGATGATATTATGATTAATATATTATGGCCTCGTTTGGTTGCCAAGATAAGCCAAGATTAACTAAATAGTTGGACTTAATTTGGTGTTTGGTATCCTCAATAAATTATCGGGTCGACCCGCCAAAATTATTTAATAATGACTTATCTTGTCTTCTATAATTTTAGACTAAAATTCTAGTTTTGTATTAAATTAAAGGTCACCTTGAAAAGTAAATAAGTAAAACCCGAACTGATATACATTGTTGCCAGCTGCAAAAATGGTGAGATTTGAATTCACAGTGAAAACCACGCCAAAAACATACAAAGGGTGCACTCTGCCAAGTTAGTGATAATTGCAGAGTGCAAAGTGCCATATTTATAATTTAAGGGTGTAATATGGCCGGTAGGTATATTTAGAGGGTGCAAAGTGTCAATTATCCGTAGTTAAAACATACTTTGTTTGTGAAAATATTATCCACATGTCATCAATTGAATGGCATCCTCTTTCTGGGCAGTAAGGTGCGTCCGCTCCAAATTGCCTCCGAAATTTGAAAATGAGAAATTTCGGACAACGTCATTAGAATCCTGTTCTCTCTTTTTTGGGACCCAAAAATAGAGAAAGGGAAGAAAATAATTACATGGGGTAATTAAAAAGCTTGTCCGCTAAAACACGGAAAAGAGTAGCCATTAAATAAATTGCAGAAAAATAAAATACAGATAGACTTGGAATATTTACATCATATCAAAAAGAAGAAGAAAAAAAAGATTGTAAGAAAGAAAATATAAATACATGTTGACACAGCCTCAAGGAGCATGTTTGTCAATTTCGTCGGGCATATCACACCCAAGAGAACCAGCTCTCCTATACAATTCCTTTCCTTGTTTTAGGATCAAATAGGTAGGCAAACCCTCAAGTTTGAATTCATCAGCAACACTCTGCAGAGAATGAATTAGCAAATATAGCTACACATTCTAACTTTCTGATCTAAAAATGGACGGACTAGAAAGAAGGTCCAAGTAAGCAAAAGTGCAGAGAGACACAAACCTTAAGCTCATCAACACCAACTCTCAGGAATATAACATGAGCTCTTTCCTTTGCAATTCCTGCCAACAGAGGACCAAAACGGGAGCGGTATGGCTCTGAAAGAGAAGGTGTAAACTCTATCACCACCTGGTATGTATATATATCACAACGATTTGGTTTCCCATGTCAAAACTCAAAAGAATGGATAGTTAATTCGAAACACAAACATTGAAGATTTAGCCAAAAATCAGGAAATATCCTTGTTCCATTTTCTAGTTTAACCAATATCATCATCAAAAAGAGACCTTTTTTGGGGCCAAAATATGCAAAATGGGACAAACTGATAATAACTTGCTCCTTTCTCCTTTCCCAATACATGTTTCTAAACTGAAGAACATCACAAACTGGAGGGATCGAGGGAGCTTATTAGCTTACTGACTGAGCTCAGTGATAAAATGGCATTTACACTCGCAACAAGGAAGACGTGATGATCAAATGAACCAAAAAAACAAAAAAAACACAAGCAATGGAAGGTTCATGATTCAACATCATCATTTAAAAAAGATTCCTCTTTTGGGGCCAAAACATTCAAAATGAGACCAATATGCTTATTACTGAAGTAGAAGCAAAATAAACTTTCTTTATTGAAATAGCACACCAAAATCTTTCTCCTTTCCTGATATATGTTTCTGAAAATGAAGAACATCAATTGGTTTTAACGGAGGGATAGTGCTTACAGACTAAGCTCAAAGATAGAAGGGCATTTTCAAACACAAGATATAAGATACAATCATCAATTAACAACAAACAAAACACAAGCAATTGAAAATCACAACCCATGTTCAATAACCAAATCCAAACAAAAAAAAAAAAAAAAGAGAAAAGGAAATTAACTCAAGTCAGCAAGTAATAACACCCTTCCGGAAATGGTTATAAGAATGCAACTACTAGTTACCAGTTTCTTGGACTCGGCACCCTTCCGGAAATGGTCCTTCCACTCATCCACGGAGTGGACTTCGATCACTCGTCCCTCTCCTAAAGAGAGTAGGGAAAAAAATCAAAGTAAACGACATTGTAGATATTATATTATTCAACAAAACACTTTGAAACCATATTTCCATTTTATTTTTGGGAAAGAAGTTTTGGGATAAGGAATTTACAATGTATCAGTCAAATAACGTCTAAAAGTGTTGAAAAGATGTATTTTTTGAAGAGGAATGTGAAATAAAATTGGTAATACTATAGCTATAGCAGTCAAATCAAATCTTGTTTTAAGAAAAGATAACAACTTTTGGGAGTTTTATTGAAAAGCTTAAGAAACATAATTTCAATTTGGGGAATGAGTATGAAGAATTTGAAAACCTAACCAAAACATAGTTAAATGGTTTCTTTTGAATTAACTTTCCAATTTTGGGCCTAAAATTTTGTGAAGCACAATGAATATACAGTCGGTGAAAACAAAATTTCAGATTCATAGGCAATATTAAATAAAGAGTTAATCGCACAACTGCTTTTGTTATTTTTAATTGCAAAAATCCACTGTGGTATGGTTTTGGCTTTTGATTTTTCCAATCACAAATAAACATAACATATAAACCCTATTAATAAAATGGTAAGAGAACTCCGTACCATCGACTGGTGGAAGATCAAACCTTGTCCAAGTTGGCCCACCCGCACCATATTTGGCCATCAACTCATCAAGAGTTTGATCAGAGAACAGATTGAGACCCATTTTGTAAGTAGTATCACCACTCGCATTGTGCTCATTAATACGTTTGCAGCGTTCTTTAAATATATTAAATCTGTACTCCTTTTCTTCATCAGAAGAATATCCTTTTCCATGTATTTTACACCAGCTATCAAAGAGAGCGCGAGTGCAAAGATCAAGATGACTATTAGTAACTTCATGATTAAATCCCATCGATGGATTCACCTTGTCATCCATATTGCAAGCAATCCTACTCAACGCCTTTTGACGCTCGTGGAGTTCTCTTTGTATCACGCCCAACTCCACCAGCTGATTGTCCAATTCCACCAGCTCTTTAGGCCGTTGATACAAAGTGCAATAAGCCTTCGAATTTTACCACAAAAAAAAAAAAAAAAAATGAAAGGAAAAAGCAAATCATTTGCGGCCATACACATATGAACTACGAATCTGTATAAAAATCAATAAATTAGAGACCTTGAACGCGGAAGCGTAGCGAGTGAGAAAAGGAAGACGACTATTAGTAACTTTATGATTGAATCCCATCGCCGTATTCCCTAGCAACGGAATGCATGCAATCTTACTCAACGCCTTTGAAAGAATTTATGGTCCCGAATTCGTATTATACAGAGATGTTATCTAAAATGTTATGACACTTGAGACAACATGCAGCGGAAATATAAAGATTAAAAGACAGTACTCAGAATTAAAAATGTTCACAAGTAAAGACTTGTGAACTTGCCCTTTACAGGACGGAAAAATATATTAAAATCAGTATTCCAAGAATACAAACAGAAGAGGTGCGAAAACTTCTTCCTTATGAATGAATCTTTTTCAAGATCATTCTTACAATCAAATCTAGATACTAAAAGAAAAATATTAAAAATTCTAGATTTCAAAGAATGTACTCGTGAGGAGTACGTAAAGAACTTATGAATGAATCACTATCTTGATCATTCTTACAACCAAGTCTAGAAACATATATACTATACAATCTAGACTACAAAGAATGTACTTGTGAGAAGTACGTAAAGAATGTACTCATAAGGAGTACGTAAAGATTGTACTCATGAGGAGTACAAACGACCGATTCTAAAACCACTCTAAAACTCTCGTGAATATTCTTCAGCCCTCGGTTTTTATTTCGTAGAATCGATTAATTTCCT